GGCTCGGGGGGGGAGAAGGGGAAGGGATGGAGGAGGAGGAGAAGGAGTGCCGAGGAAGGAGCAGGAGAAGGACCAGAGAGAAGAGAAGGAGGCGGGATTAGGAAGGAGGGGAAGCGGGAGGAGACGGCGGAGGAGGACTCCCCATCCCAAGGTGCTAACCCCTTGTTTTTCCTCTCAAACCAGGGTTTGTCATTCCCAACCTGTGGCCGGATGGAGGAGGAGGAAAAGCCCTGGAGATACCGCACAAGGAGGGGCTGCAAACCCAGCCCCGGGTGCTGTGAGGAGGAAAGAGCCCCCCTGAGTCAGGAAGGCGGCCGGAGATGCAGCCAGAGCTCAGAGCTGGTGGAGAAGCCTCATGGAAGGGAGAAGCCTCATGGCAGGGAGAAGCCACACACCTGCTTGTGTGACTAATGAAATCCTGGAGATGAGAGCTTTTTCAGAGTAGTAATTGGTAGTTAATGTTAATGAAATTGAAGTGTTGGTCTGTTGTTAACCATTGAATGTTAGAGTTCTAGGACTTGCCTTCAGTTGCCGTTGCTAAACGTTACTATTTTGCCCTGTATTTGTATCTCTCCTCATCATAGTCTGTATTTGTACCCCATGTTAGTCTGTTGTTAAACACTGAATGTTAGTATTCTAAGACTTGCCTTTAGTTGCCGCTGTTAGATGTTACTATTTTACCCTGTACTTGTATCTCTCTCCTTCATACTCTGTATTTGTTCCCCTTTCCGTCTCACCCTGGATTTGTATCCATTCCCGTCGGGAACCACTTCCCTGCTCCCCTGCTTCCAGGAGGCGTTGCACACGGACAGAATTCAAATGAGAGGCTGTGGGAACTATGTGAACCCTCTCAAAACAAACCAACACATAAACTTTGACTGTAACCCACCAGAACCACACTAAGTCACCCACCCTTGACCAGAGACGGATCCCGTCCTGCCACAATAACTTTGATAGTACCCAGCTTGGAGGATAACCCTGGGCTACGAGCCAATATTGTCCTCCTAAGGACTCTCCTGAGGATGGAAGCCCCAGCTCTGCCCAGAGACAAAGCTGCACTCCTCCTGCTCCTCCTCAGCGTCGTCCAGTGGGAACAGTGGTGCTGTGTGCGACCCTTTGGGTTCCCCACCCAGAACTGTCTTTAATAAAGGCCTTTTAAAGGAGCTGCTCTCCTGCCCCTATTTATAATGCTTGGAATGTGGGAACAGCTTCAGACAGAGCTCCAGACCACATCCACCACCAAACAACCCACACCAG